CATGGGGGGCTGGAGTGGGGAGGGGTAAATGGGGTTTCCATGGGGGGGCTGGAATGTGGGGGGGGGGGAATAGATGGGGTTTCCTTTGGGCATCAAAGGCAGCTTTTCCCCATCAGGAGGAGCCAACTGTCACAGAATCTGCCAGTGCCAACGTTCCGTCCTGGCTCCACCATTCCGTCCTGTCTCCTGTTACAGAGACGTCACCCCCAAACATCTTGCTTGCTGCGAGCCTGGTTCTGCCATCCGCATGCTGGGGAGTGTTTTACTCAGCTGGTGGGGCTACAAGCAGAGTAAGATATGATGATAAGGAAGGATAGTCCAGTGATTATAAATAAGGCTACATTTTAGTCATGGCCATTTTTAGTAAAAGTCATGGACAGGTCACGGGCAGTAAACAAAAATTCAGGGCCCATGACCTGTTCCTGACTTTTATTTAAAATATCCATGACTAAAACTTGGGGTGGGAGCTGCCCGAGATCCCTGCTGGTGCTGGAGGGGGGGTGGCAGCATGCAGCATAGGACCCCCACTGGTGCTGGGGGTGGGTAGGCGGGCAGCAGCAGTGTGCGGCCAGGGACACCCACTGGTGCAGGGGGGGATGGGGTTGGCAGGGCCGGCAGGCTGAATACCTGCCTCTGTGCCTCCCTCTTTCCCCCCAGCAGCAGCAGACTTAGTTTGGGTGCAGCAGGAGCACGGGACGGGTTGAGACGGGCTCTGGGCAGCGCTTACCTGGCTGGAAGGCTCCCTGTAAGTAGCGACATCCCCCTCACTCAGCTCCATCCTAGGCAGAGATATGGTCAGGCAGCTCTACACACTGCCTCCACCTGTAGGCACCGCCCCCGCAACTCCCATTGGCCGCAGTTCCCAGCCAAAGGGAGCTGCAAAGCCAGTGCTCTGGGTGGAGGTAGTGTGCAGAGCTGCCTGTCCACACCTCCACCTAGCAGCTGAGCGAGGAGGATGTCACTGCTTCCAGGAAGCCCCCCAGGTAAGCGCCACCCAGAGCCCGCCTCACACCGTCCCATGCCCCAACCCCTCCCCATTGCACACCCAAACTCTGCTGCTGTGGGCACGGTGGCCTGAGACTGCCCCTGCAGTGACCTGTGCACCTGGTACATTGGCTGCCTGAGCTGCCCCTGAGCCAGGCGCACCAGCACTGCAGAAGTCACGGAGGTCACAGAATCTGTGACTTCAGTGACAAACTTGGGCAGCCTTAATTATAGGTATGTTAGTTAGATAGTTATTATGCATAAAGATGGCAGAATCAGGTGTTGGTTAAACAGCAGTAGAAAGAGGAATGTATGTTCCTTCTGCTTTAGCAACCTATCACAGCTGTTTGAATGCACCTATAATGGGCAGTTGGCTAATTCTCATAAACTAGGCTCTTGTTCTGGATGCTGACATTCAGATACACTGCTTAGGATGCAATAAGAAGGGACAGGTTTCAGAGTAGCAGCCGTGTTAGTCTGTATCCGCAAAAAGAACAGGAGTACTTGTGGCACCTTAGAGAAGCTTTTGTGGGCTACAGCCTACTTCATCAGATGCATAGAATGGAACATATAGTAAGAAGATATATATATACATACAGAGAACATAAAAAGTGGAAGTAGCCATACCAACTGTAAGAGGCTAATTAATTAAGATGAGCTATTAGCAGTGGGGAAAAAAACTTTTCTAGTGATAATCAAGATGGCCCATTTTAGACAGTTGACAAGAAGGTGTGAGGATACTTAACATGGGGAAATAGATTCAATATGTGTAATGACCCAGCCACTCCCAGTCTCTATTCAAACCCAAGTTAATGGTATCTAGTTTGCATATTAATTCAAGCTCAGCACTTTCTTGTTGGAGTCTGTTTTTGAAGCTTTTCTGTTGCAAAATTGCCACTTTTCAGTCTGTTACTGAGTGACCCGAGAGGTTGAAGTGTTCTTCTACTGGTTTTTGAATGTTATGATTCCTGATGTCAGATTTGTGTCCATTTATTCTTTTGCGTAGAGACTGTCCGGTTTGGCCAATGTACATGGCAGAGGGGCATTGCTGGCACATGATGGCATATATCACATTGGTAGATGTGCAGGTGAACAAGCCCATGATGGCGTGGCTAATGTGATTAGGTCCTATGATGTTGTCATTTGAATAAATATGTGGACAGAGTTGGCATCGGGCTTTGTTGCAAGGATAGGTTCCTGGGTTAGTGTTTTTTGTTGTGTGGTTGCTGATGAGTATTTGGACAGTTTTCTCCCAGATGGCCCCATGGGGACATAGGTCCTTGATCAGTAGTACTACTAGGATTCAGCTTGCTAAATACCAAATGCGTGATTGTCCTAAAATTAGGACACACCATCAAATGTCGGAGGAAGGAGGCAGAAATTAGTCCCATATATCATTCCTGTGTTTTATCCTCCCCATAAGGGCTCTGTGTTTCTGTTCTCAATTCTCCCATTTCCCCCATCCCTCCCTCCCCACTCCATACTCTCCTCCCAGTTCTTTGTCCTTCACTTCTTTTTACCATTCTCAGCTTTGTGCCTTCTGTCATGGTCCCTTTATGCCTGGAGCAATCTGCTCACTAGTTTACTTTCCCCAGATTAAACAATGAAGCTAAACTAATCATTTCCTAAATCAGAACTTTTTGATTCTTAAACCCTAAAATCTGCCTCCTCTTCTGATCCCCTTCTCTTCTATAATTTAATCCTGCCCCTCCTCTTGTTCCCTATATAACTGTCCAACCATTGTTTTTTAGTTATAAACCTCCCATAACCCTGACTCTAACAGCTGCACCATCTCTACTGTTCCCCTTTTCCAAGTGCATAAAAAAGGTCACCTTATCTCGCCTATCTATCCACCCCTCTCTCAGCAGTCTTGAGGAAAAGTTAGTATGCTCTGTTCAGAGCATACTAACTGCTCTCCTCCATAGTGAAAATTCTTTGATGGTGATTGACTCCTTTGTTCTCATCCGCCTTGATCTTAGGCCAGGCTTGGATTTTTATGAACCACTTTGCTCTCCTTTACCATCTCAATGCACAGTTATCTCTGATCCCCTCCTGCCATACCTACCTTTCTGATCACTCTGCCTCTTGGTACTCTGCACCAAGGTCTAACTCCACTGGGAGTTCAGTGCCTAGGTGCTTTTGAAAATCACATTTGGCATCTATCTGCATATTTAGCTGCCTCAAGATCTGGTCCCACACCTCTTCTTTGGAGTTCCACTAGGTTTAATTCCTGGCCCACTGCTGTTTTCTTTCTATTTTCTTCTTGTGTGAACTTCTGTCAGACTTTAAATGTACTTGCCACTATTATGCTGATGTTACCAACTGTTCACATCTTCTGATATTTCTAATGATTTCTGCCTGTTTTGATCACGTACAACGTGGTTTCATCTTAACCTACTTTCTCAATGTCTCAAAGATAGCGAAAGGGCAAGAAAAGCATCCTCACACACAACTCCATTTTCCCCCTTGATTTACGTCTCCTGCCAAAACCTCTTATATTGCCTCCACACAGTCTGTAACCTAGGCATCATCCTTGATTTTAAGTCTCTGTCTTCCCATATTGCCTATGTTTGCAAATCTACCTAACTTAATCAGCTCCCTAACACTGCCCTGTTATGCATGTCATGGCTGGAATCCTCATCCATTCCTCCACTAACTTGCCTGGACAGTTGCAATTCTTAGGAAAATAGGAATTGCTATAGCAGATCAGAAGGGGGCCTGGTATCCTGTCTCTGACCTTAGGCAGTACCTCATGTTTCAAAAGAACATACAGGGCAACCCATAGTGGACAGTTAAGGGATAACGCCCAAAATAATGGGGACTTTTTTATTCCTTCTAAAAATAATTGTTTTTTAAATGCAACTTTTAGATGCCCTCCTGAATTCTATTAAGCTGTTTACCTCAATGCTATCTTGTGGCAATAAATTCCATAGCCTAATTATTCCCAATATATACGTATTTCCTTTAACTAGTTTTAAGTTTTGTCTTTCAAATTCAGTAAATGCCTCCTTTATTCTTATGTTATTGGAAAGGCAAATAGGAGCTCCTGATGTACATTCTCTATCCCATTCATGTTATGTCCTGTCTCTGTTATACAGACCTAGTTATTTCAACCTCTCTTCCTATGGAAAGTTTTTCATACCCTTCTTTAGATATAGTTCTAATCATTTGTTACCTAACTCCCTTCTGTATAATCTCGAGCTATTGTAACTCCATAATACTTGTTTCTTAGTAAACCGTCACAAATATTTCATGCAGAAACAGAGCTAACTTCTACATGTTCTGCTCTTTGGTCTGAGTGGGTGAACAGAGGGGAGTGACTGATCTCCTTTGTCTTGAGAAAGGAACAGGAGTACTTGTGGCACCTTAGAGACTAACAAATTTATTTGAGCATAAGCTTTCGTGGGCTACATCCCACTTCTTCGGATGCATAGAATGGAACATATATTGAGGAGATATATATATATATACACACACATACAGAGAGCATGAACAGGTGGGAGTTGTCTTACCAACTCTGAGAGGCCAATTAAGAGAAAAAAAACTTTTGAAGTGATAATCAAGATAGCCCAGTACAGACAGGTTGATAAGAAGTGTGAGAGTACTTACATGGGGAGATAGATTCAATGTTTGTAATGGCTCAGCCATTCCCAATCTTGAGACTTGCCCTTGTTCTTCCTTTTTCCTTCTGTTGCTGCCTCACTTCACATACCTCTCAGAAATGAAGATTTGAGTCTCCACGTGAAGGGAAACTGGCTCCATGGCATTGATTGCAGACATGTACTGAGAGAACCGAAAGAACACAAAGCTGGTAGAGCTGTAGTCTTATGCAGGGGACATCCCCTGCGCACAAGGGTATCAGGCACTTTGTCCTTAGCTTCGGAAGGAGGCAACAAAAAAAGTTGTCCTATTATCATGCTATAAGCATAAATGCTGAGGCAGTCTAAAGCCTTTGCTGAGTCCCAAGTAGTAGTGCTGTTTGTTCTTGATGTGACATTTGAGGCAGCAAACTCAAATTCATTCTTGGCAGTCAAAGAAGAGTATCTACTGTCTGTCTGGTACCATAGTTCCCCTTGGTGTGTGTAAGGGGGGAGAGGGGTTGCATTGCAAGGTTACTGTAATGTTATTTGAGCCTTTGTGCAAATGTTAGCAGGTTTTTCCTTAAGATTTTCCAAGAGGACTGAAAATCTGTTAATCCAGAGATTGCTCTTTTGTGAGGACTCTCTCATTAATCAGCAACACCAGGCTTCCTTGCTGTCGAATTTGAACAATTTAACACAACTTCAGGATGGGGAAATATTTCTCTGAGTGGACATCTGGATAGACTGGAAAAGAGAATGTAGTTTTTAAGTGTGTGGTTGAATTCCATACATTTAATTAAAGGGCCTTTTTACTATTTACCTTATAAAGAGAGTCCACTCTTCACATCAGTTGGAACAGAATGAACAGAGCTCTCTTCAGTGCAGAGATAGCATTTCAATAGAAAACTGGTTGTTTTCAGCCCACTCCACTCAGGGACTGGAAGGACAGAAAGACAAATCTCTAGGATGGTGGTCTAACATCTATCAAGCCGATCTAAAGCATTTCTGTAGTACCTGCCACCCTATCAGCTGTGTGATGAGCTGAGATCTAGTGGAAGACTATCATAGCACCAGAGATGGATCTCTAAAGACAGCATGGCTTCCCCTCGCTGCCCTTCCTGGTTTTGTGGGAAAGGGATCATTTTGTTCCTTTCTTGTTTCTTCACTGTCCCTGATCACTGCCTAGATCAGACTGTGATCATAGAATATCAGGGTAGGAAGTTGACCTCAGGAGGTCATCTAGTCTAACCTCCTGCTCAAAGCAGGACCAATTCCCAACTAAATCATCCCAGCCAGGGCTTTGTCAAGTCTGACCTTAAAAACCTCTAAGGAAGGAGATTCCACCACCTCCCTAGGTAACCCATTCCAGTGCTTCACCACCCTCCTAGTGAAAAAGTTTTTCCTAATATCCAACCTAAACTTCCCCCACTGCAATTTGAGACCATTACTCCTTGTTCTGTCATCTGCTACCATTGAGAACAGTCTAGATCCATCCTCTTTGGAACGCCCTTTCAGGTAGCTGAAAGCAGCTATCAAATCCCCCCTCAGTCTTCTCTTCTGCAGACTAAACAATCCCAGTTCCCTCAGCCTCTCCTCATAAGTCATGTGCTCCAGCACCCTAATCATTTTTATTGCCCTCCGCTGGACTCTTTCCAATTTTTCCACATCCTTCTTGTAGTGTGGGGCCCAAAACTGGACATGATACTCCAGATGAGGCCTCACCAATGACGAATAGAGAGGAATGATCACGTCCCTCGATCTGCTGGCAATGCCCCTACTTATACAGCCCCAAATGCCATTAGCCTTCTTGGCAACAAGGGCACACTGTTGACTCATATCCAGCTTCTCGTCCACTGTAACCCCTAGGTCCTTTTCTGCAGAACTGCTGTCTAGTCATTTGGTCCCTAGTCTGTAGCAGTGCATGGGATTCTTCCGTCCTAAGTGCAGGACTCTGCACTTGTCCTTGTTGAACCTCATCAGATTTCTTTTGGCCCAATCCTCTAATTTGTCTAGGTCCCTCTGAATCCTATCCCTACCCTCCAGCGTATCTACCACTCCTCCCAGTTTAGTGTCATCTGCAAACTTGCTGAGAGTGCTGTCCACGCCATCCTCCAGATGGGTGCATTAGAAATGCCTAAAATAGAGTGACAAAGGAATGGTGTAATAGCTTTCAGCCATCCATTCTCTGCACAATGACCCCACTCACAAGCGGGGAAAAAGGGAGGGTGGAAGAAACAATCCAGTACGCAAACATTCTTAAAAGTGAGTTCTTTGTATAGCATATAGCTATCTTTCCTTGTTCTACTGAATACATTTGAACCTTAATTCAAAGCTAACAAGGCAAATATCTTGCATTTTACCCTCCTCCTCCTGCCCATCTTAGGCACCATAACCATCTAGCTAAGTGTTGATATTACCATAGTATCTGAGCATCACCCAATAATTCATGGATTTATCTTTGCAACACCCCAGTGAGATAGAGAAGTAGTATCATCCCTGTTTTACGGATGGGGATCTGAGACACCAAGAGGTTAAATGTCCTGCCTGAGGTCCCACATGAAGCCTTTGCCAGAGCTGAGAACTGAACACACATCTCCTGAGCCCCAATCCAGTGCTTTAACCACAAGACTATCCCTCCTTCCTTAGCACTCATTGTGAGTAACATCTGTATTTACTTACATTCCAAGCTCCTCAGGGCATGAACGCTTATTTTTCTGATAAGCGCCATACATGTTATGGTGCCATGTAGATAATGTTGTTTATTTCAGACCTTTTCAATTTGGCGATGTCTTCCCCTGAAATCGCTTCCCTTTCATGGGGTCAGATGATGGTGAAAGGTTGTTCTACAACTTATAAGGACTGCAAAGTGTGGCCAGGAGGGAGCCGAACCTGGGATTGGAGAGAAACCGGGACAAATGTAAGTACATTGTTTAGTATATTTTAAAGTGGGGGCTAAGAGAGCTTTCTTGGGAACAGTTACTGCTGTATTTGCCAGTAGTGGGAGCTAAGAAATGTGGCGT